TAAAACTCGAGTAAGGCTGTTGTGGAACGTGTCTATATTTCTGGCCCCTCACTCTCACAGTACGAGAGCCCAAGTGAAATCACATCTGAGGCAGGTCCATCTTGAGAGCAAAAGGAATTGAAAGCTATACAAGCTAAGAACCTACACAGTTCGCAGTTAGAGATGAAAGGCTGCAGAAATGTTTATTGAATACAGTGCCAGGTTTATAAATAAAACTTATTTACAATTTCCATAGAGTTGGTCCCCCATCAGAGAGGTGGTTAAATCTCCAAACAGTTTATCTCAAGATTTACAGAAACGTTCAAGTACATCTCCTTTTCAAATCGCCATGGTGAAGGGCAACTTCAGTAACAAAAGAACTACCACCATCTTTGCTACAGAAGTGTTTAATAAACATCATAATAGATTTGGAGAAAGAACACACACTCCACCCATGCCACTACCTTCTTACTCCAAGGGATACAGACAGCAAAGAATTTCTGTCTCCTACAGGACAACTTCAAGGGATAAAAAAACAGTAACTGCCAGCTGGAGGGATAGATTAAGACACATTAGTGGAAATCTAGTCACTGCCAGAGGATAAATATATTTAGGATATACAATAAATAATTCAAATGTTTAAAATAATTGAATGAACGGAAGAGTAGACTTGACCAAATTTACATTCTTTGTTCAGGAAGAGGTTCCCAGTATGCTGAGGGGTTCATAGTAAGCTTTTCCTCTGATGAGACACAGCAGCGCTAGGCCTACTGCACAGCCGTTCATTACAATATTGTTACAAGTACAATCAGACATGCATTTATAAAGAGAATATAAAAATATGTACAATAGCTCATTTTCAATGTGTGTAAGTTGCCGAAAGACACCAATGAAAGTGTGCAAAAATTCATTTGTCAAAAAATCAGAAAAAGCCTTCCTTGGCAACAGTGCATCAAAAGCCCATCTGAAAGATCGAGATCCATTTGCCTGGCTCAACACCCACCCCAAACAGATGGAGAACAAAACTATGAAAGGGTTTGCCAAGTACTCAGCAGTTTCTTATGGCAAGTCTCAGGCTAAAGCGGGATGCCAGTTCAACTAATCACTTTATACATAAATATATGTATATATTTATAGAGGAGTTAGAAGTAGGGGCAAGAGTTTACAGGAAGGCGCTAACCAACTTCAAGGGCACCGCCACGACACCCAGCTATCTCCTCTTGCAAACTCATGCAGACTAACATCCAACGTCTGGGTTGGTCATCCCCCCCAAATGCCAGGGGGGAAGGCTACAGTGGATTCTGCCTCATTTCTGCTCAAAACTGGAACTCAGCATGCCCTGGAGGGGGCTGGGGTAGGGTTTCTGCTTCCCAGACAGGATCCTGGCCATACAAGAATCCTGTTTCAAAGGTAGTCTTTTAGGATAGGCTACAGGACCGCTAAGAGAGTCCACCCAGTTTCTAAAAAGACTTGAGGGTTAGGCTACCTCTCAAAAAAACAAGTCAGATCACCCCCTCCAGCACCCTTTAAAAATACCAAGAGGTCACTGACCACAGGCCTGAAACTGGGTCAGCAATCAGGCTCTTTGACCACCCCCCGCCACAAGAAATATCCAGGACATTAACTTACTCAAACCAGGAACCCTATCTCACCAGAATAGAAACCCCAAGGTACGCTTGGGCATTCCTTTCAGATTCAGGGAATTATAAAAGCCAACCCTTAGCTCATAGTGTCAACCACTCTTCTACCAACCACCCAGCCCAAGGACCAGCAGCAGAAGCACGTGGGCGATGTCTCCTCTCCACTGCTCTGACCTACCCCTCTGGCAGAAAATCTAACAAGCTACAAAATGCCAGAAAGACAGGGAGTAGGAGAAGGAGAAGCCAAGGGTCTCTATAAATCAGCCCTGAATGCACCCATTTGGCTGCCAAGAGCTTCTTACTGTCTTGCTAGCAGCCTGCCACTGTTCCCTGGCAAATTGAAAACACCCACACAAACACTCAAAACCCCAATCTCTTTGCTAATGAGATACAACCAGTTAACATCATGAAAAATGCACATCTCCAGCCTTCATTTCAAAAAAGAGCTCTGTACTAAATGCAATATGCTTTTAAGAGGGCTTTTTACAGGGACCAATCTCAACGCAAAGACCAGTACCAGATGTCTGAGTTTTGGTTACAGGTTTATAGTTAGACACAAAATTCACTCCAGACTGGAGTTTTACTTTCAAGCTGGAAGTTAGCATTAGTTCTACTTGTAGGGAGAGAAAGTAAAGTCAACTTGGGGGGGGGGGGGGGGAAAAAGAAGGCAAAGGTTAAGTTTAATCATAAATTAAAAGTCATGAATCAAAGGTGACTGGTAGTGTCTTTTAGGCATGAAGAGACTGGCTTAGAAAAGTGACTACTGCTTCTACCACACACAGCGAGGATTGAATTACAGACACACTAAATCATGTCTCTTGCACAGATGGTCTCAAGTAGTTACATAAGACAGGTAATCAGCAGCACAATTGAGAACAACCCCTAAATACATGCTTGAGAGAAAGTGGGTTTGTTTTTTCCTTAAGAGCTCTACTGCCTGAATAGATCATTAAAAGTTACCATAATTCACACCTTCCCCCCTCCCCCCCAGTGAAAATGCAAATAGACCTACATGTCCATAAATAGGATGAAGCAATTGGTATCCGCTTTTTTTTAGGCAAGGTCTTGGGCTCAGAGGTTGGTGCTGGGACCTTGGGAGGGAAACCCAATGCTGAGCTGTGGGCATTTAAACGTACACTGGCCTCCCCTCCACCTGCCTTGTCCCCATTTAGATCTCAGCTTTACAAAGCATTTAACACCACTTTAAGTTAATGGTCTTTTTATTGGGGAAAAAAAAAAAAAAAAAAAAAAGACCAGCATTTACAACTTGGAATGGACGTAAATTGTAATTACTTTGAACAACGATGTTGATGGTTGTGCTGAAGTCTACAGCCACAGCCTACTCTGCCGGCTCCAAGTCACGGTTCAGGAGGTTTTAAAAATAGAGAGTCCAAAGATGCTCCCTTGGTAAGTTCCTTATTAAAAATTTGGGTGAACAGTGACAGCCTGATACCTGTTTCACTCTGGAACAATGCAGCCAACACTAAACCAACATACACGGGTGTGGTACCAGGGTGTGTCACCATCACCATGGGTCGGAGCACACGCAGTACAAGAGGACCATCCTACCAGTGGGGCCATGTCTGAACGGTTTATCCTTCACCCATTTTTCTGCGCGTCATCCTGAGGTAAACCAATTTTAAATGTGTTTGTTTTCAGTAAACCAGCTATGACAATTTATACTAAACAAATTGAATTAGAACCCATTTGAATAGGTTTTGGATTTGTTTTTTCATTTTTCGTTTTTAATACAAATGCCTGACTGTGCTCAATCGTCAAGCTGCATGCATGAAAAACTGGCCAGCCCAAACAGTGTATTAATCATTAGCAAATGGAGCTTTAAGGAGTCCTTATCATTAAGGTAGTACAAGTATTTATATTGTAAAACTGATGTGTAGCTTGATCTTTAGGGGACAGGACCACCAACCAATACATGCAGATTTTGTGTGTGTGGACAGAAGGTACTTTTGACATTCGGTTTTGCTATATAGAAACAGAATGAATAATGAACTTTTTTCTTTTTTCTTTTTTTTGCAAGAGGTAAGTAAAAGATTCAATTTGATTCTTCTAGAGGGGGGAAAAAGGAGTTGAAAGTAGGTCTTCATTTTGCAGTCATCATCTGTACGAATTCTGAAAAGACAAATATAATGGTAACTTGTGGTTATCTTTGAAAGCGGCCTTAATGAACACAACATCTCTACTGCGCATAAAATAAGGTTGAAGACTGTCTAGTGAAGCAGTTAGCTTGTTTACAGATCCTAAAGGTAAAACCATGAAAAACTGAGCTCAAAGAACTTAGTTTTACCTTCATAGTTGACTTGTCCATCTCCATCAATATCTGCTTCTCTGATCATTTCATCTACTTCTTCATCTGTTAGCTTTTCTCCTAAGTTTGTCATGACGTGACGTAGTTCTGCTGCACTGATGTACCCATTGCCATCCTGTGAACATTCGACAATTGTTACTGCTAATGATGTGGTGTGGGCAAGCAGGTCTTTGACTTAGTTATGCGCTCTCACGTTACTGCTAACTCTGCTCCCACCAACAATTCTCTGCTCCCTAGTTCCCACCTCTAACCTACAAAATACATGCAAACAGTTAATACAAAAACAGGATTTTCAAAAGCCCACAACAATTCAAAGTAACAGTCAGGAAACGTGGTCCAAAATTCCTATTATGCCTACCCTCACTTGATACGGTTACCATAAAAAGGATTTTTGAAAGTGAGATCAGACGCTCAGGCAGTAGACTAAGTCTTCCGTGTCTAACATTGTCATAGCTTTTACAAGCGACAGCAGAAAAAGCCATACGTAAGTACCATCTGCTATGTAGAAGCTGGATTACCTTGTCAAAGACTCGGAATGCCTCACGGATTTCTTCTTCACTATCCGTATCTTTCATTTTTCTAGCCATCATAGTCAAAAATTCGGGGAAGTCAATGGTGCCATTACCTCAAATTAAAAAACAAAAAGCTCATGTAAAGTAAGCACTCCATTCATGCTGCCCTGCAGTCATCACTTCAGAACCACCATAGAGAATGATAAACATGTGCTGGGATGAAGTGGCAAACTCTCTTACTAGGTTCAGTCATTTGCAGGTCTAAAATGTTCAAATACTTCACAGGGCAATTTCACATAATTTCAAACTCATCATCAGTACCCAGGATAGCATCTAATTATACAAAGGCAAATGCACATCCGGATTCAAGCCCACGGAAGGGTCATGAAGGGCGGTACGTTGAAGAGAAAAGCAGCACACAACACCGGAGCCTGAACCTTTCTACTCCCAAGGGAAGGAAGTACCCCCGCCTGCCATCCTTGACTTAGGAAAATCGCGCAGGTCTAACTCTGCCTTGGTTAGTGACAGTAGTAATGGAAAGAAGGCCTAGAACTGAGCTGCAGGTTAAGAGTATAAAATGTTTTAGGGGAGAAAAGATTATGAGGGAGGAATATTGATTTTGTTATGCCATGGGGCATATCTTCTCCAGGATCATTTCTTGGCCACACTATGATGGTTAAGTCGCCTAACTTGTTTTCTTTCAACTCAGTATCTTTATTTCCCATTAAGGGAAAAGCTCAGAAGCCTTCTCACAGCTCAGAGCAGTAACACTTAGAGAACTGTCAGAAGAATCTGTTCTATGGCCAGTACTCCAAACAACTCCTCTTTAAAACTAAGAGATAAATACCCCTAAAAACAAGCACTCCAGGCTAACAGTGTAACTTGAACTCAATGGAAATAAGACTAGGAAGAAAAACCCTACGTTAAGTTACTAATTGTCACCTGTGCCTTTAAAAGAAAATAACTCAGGGATCCCTTTAAGACTTTTTGGTCTCAAAAATTTTAAGATATTGTTTGTATTCATTGAAGACAAAAGAAATTATCTAAAGCTATCTCACAGCCATGCAGAGGTCAGGTACCATCCTATTTTCTCAGTGCAAACACAGGATTCTGTAGCCTGGCACAACTTCTTCTTCCACACAATCCAAGAGCCTAATAAGCTTCTCCCCTCCCCAAGCACAGACTCCCAGGGGTCCTGCAAAAGAAGAAGAAGCTACTTCATGTTCCCGGATAGCTGATCATCTTAGCAGTCAAACTACACAGAACTATGGACAATCTTTTCTTTCTAGAACACTATTAGTGAAAACCACTCTAATGGGCTGAAACCTTTGTCAAAGAACTTAAAAGCCCTTCATCCAAATGTCTGTGACCAGACAAGCATTACTCTACTCTACCACCTTCAAGTCAATCATCTAGAAAGTAAAATCTAGATCCAAATTGTTTATTCTTAACTCATCTTTTTTTCTTTTTCCCTTCTCTCTCCCCAACTCATCTTTTAAAAAGCATGTTCTATAATGTTACATAGTATATTTGTATTTGTGTGTGTGTGTGTGTGTGTCTGTGTATGTGTGTATTTATATATATGGTACAAAAATATTTTTTTTTTAGGGCAGGGAAAGTGTGCTTCAAAGACTGCTTACTGATGGTAAATCAGCAATAAAAGGCCTGTTGTCCACTGCTGTAGAGTCAAGAGGAATGGACAGGGTTAATGCTGGTGCCATCTGCCCCTGCACCTTACAGCTTCCCCTTCTGTTAGGTTCTGCAGACCTACCCCCCCGTCACCACACGCCCCACCTCCGAACCTCACATGGTCCTCTGCAGCAAACACATCTACAGCTCACACTGTACTCACTTTTTTTTTTTTTTGAGACGGAGTTTCACTCATGTTACCCAGGCTGGAGTGCAATGGCGCGATCTCGGCTCACCGCAACCTCCGCCTCCTGGGTTCAGGCAATTCTCCTGCCTCAGCCTCCTGAGTAGTTGGGATTACAGGCACGCACCACCATGCCCAGCTAATTTTTTGTATTTTTAGTAGAGACGGGGTTTCACCATGTTGACCAGGATGGTCTCGATCTCTTGACCTCGTGATCCACCCGCCTCTGCCTCCCAAAGTGCTGGGATTACAGGCTTGAGCCACCGCGCCCGGCACACTGTACTCACTTCTATGGTAACTTCTAAGAGTGCTCGTCACCCACTTCATCCAGCTGTTCCTCCTCCTCCTCTTTTAGACACAGTAAGCTTGTTAAAAAGCACGTTTGATGGCTCTTTAATTTTACCTCCCTCTCAAGACTCAGTGCAGACTCATAGGCCAGTTGATAAAAGATGCGAGCTCAGCCTGGAGCAGTGGCTCATGTCTGTAATCCCAGCACTTTGGGAGGGCAAGGCGGGCAGATCATGAGTCAAGAGTTCGAGACCAGCCTGGGCAACATGGTGAAAACCCCGTCTCTACTAAAGACACAAAAAATTAGCCAGGCGTGGTGGCGTGAGCCTGTAGTCCCAGCTACTTGGAAGGCTAAGGCAGGAGAATCACTTGAACCCGGGAGGCAGAGGTTGCAGTGAGCTGAGATCGTGCTATTGCACTTCAGCCTGGGTGACAGAGTAAGACTCCCTCTCCAAAAAAAAAAAAAAAAAAAAAAAAAAAAGATTTGAGCTCTAGGTCACATCACAAAAAAACAACACAGTGATCCCATGCAGGAAACGTTCTAGACAGTAAGCAGGGCGGCCGCAAGGCCCATAATCTTCTATTTTAATTGTCAATGGCCCTAAGGCAACCACAGAAAGGATCTTTGCACCTTTGCTTTGCGCTGGGGACTCGAACCAGACAATCCTCTGACATGCCTGAACTTGAATTACACAACAATGGCCCTTATTCATGATTCTAAAGCCCTTACCATCAGCATCCACTTCGTTGATCATATCCTGCAACTCAGCTTCCGTTGGGTTCTGACCCAGTGACCTCATGACAGTTCCAAGTTCCTTTGTTGTGATGGTGCCATCGCCATCTTTATCAAATAGGGAGAAAGCTTCTTTGAATTCTGAAAAACAAAAGTTGACCCTTTAAAATGAATGTCTTTATCCAACCCAGTCACAATACACACTTGCTGGGAGCTTGCCAAAGCAAGCCATTCAAGTTGTGCAAGGTATCAGAAGCTGTCTGGTTTTTATCTACTGAAATAAAGACCACAACAGTCCTGTTGGACTAGCCTTCATACAGCAGCCTACAAAGCAAACACTGCTCCCAGTAAACCACAATATTCCCATATTTAAAGGCAGCTAAGCTGGAACATGCTTAAATTGGTCCTAAATCCATTTTTTTTTTTTTTTTTTTTGGCAAGGGAATCTCGCTCTGTCCCCCAGGCTGGAGGGCAGGGTGCAATCTTGAATCACTGCAACCCCCTGCCTCCTGGGTTCAAGCAATGAAATCCAATCTGATAAGACTGGTCCATGTGCCTCCTTCAAGTCCCTTCCTGTTACATTTCTAAAGCCATAAAAATCCCTTGTTTCATAGCAACATGAAATGCTTACTAGAAATGGACATTCCCAGGTAACCAGTCTGTTTCTCTCTACATGACTTTTAGGATATTTCAGAGGCATTTCTGGTTTCCTAAAGAGACACAGTCTCAAAACAAGCCCTCCAGGGAATAAAAAGCTAAAAGCTACCAGACGTAGAGGCACATGCCTATGGTCCCAGCTACTTGGGAGGCTAAGGCAGGACTGCTTGAGCCCAGGAGTTCGGGTCCAGCTTGGGCAAGAGTTTAACTAATATAACTTTCTTCCCAATTATTACAGTGGTCCTAACACTCATTGTCACCCATTTTCATTTATTTTAGGACAGCAAGCACAAGCTTTCATGGCAGATTACTGAAAGACCCATGGCATAAGAATTGTAAACTCAACTGTTGAGTAGCAGGCTCAGTACAATTCAATCATATGCAAACTTTGCACATTGTGGAACATGGTCAAATTCTCCAGGGTTTAACAAGTGGGCATCCTTAGTTTTACTTCCTTTCACCTCATCTATAAAGTACTGGCAGGAATAACACCTGACCTAAATGTTTCTTCTTACTGTTCTTCTTTAAATAAATTCCTAGAAAACTGCCCAGACTGTAAGGGGGAGGAACAGAGGAGTCACCAAAACTGAGTCAGTGCCTAGTTCTGGCCTTCTGGGGACTCCCTGGAGTTGTTAACTTACCAGCAATCTGTTCTTCGGTCAGCTGATCAGCCTACATGAAGAAAGAAAAGGTTATCTTTCAGTCCACAATAGTTTAGAGATCAACATAGGTTTTCCAGTTACATTTTTAATATTGTGATCTTTCAAAAATCACTCTTAAAAAATATTTTGAAACCTGTAGCACTGTCACTTAACCAAAGTAATTAGAATAAAGGAAACTCTCTATGCTATTTTAACAAAGGATTACAAGGAAGCGACAACATCTGCTCACTTCTAAATTTTCTTTTCTGGGCCCATGGCTTAGTTTGCTCCGCGATCTAACTAGGCTAAGTTCACAATGTGAAAAATGGCACCTCTAGTGGCAGAAGGCCCCACGGCACCAGCTGCAGTGGCAGCAGACTCTAAGACAGAAGAGCGCCACCTACTGCATCATGGACACCACAGTCCCCCCCTTCCACGACCAAGGGACCCAGCCCACTGCCACTGCCACCACAGCCAGGATCAGGATCTCATCCAGGGGCGGGCTTTTAGCACACCTTGCACACTGCTCCAGGCCCTCAAAATCTCCAAACTAGCATTACATAATGGCATTGGGTTGGATTAACAGGCTTTTATATCCATTTTATGAGAAATAATAATTAAGTAGAAAAAATATACAGCAACCAGGTACCCCACCAACTTCATTTCCATGTAACAAATGCTTTCCAATCCTTTAAATTAGGCAGTTATTTGCTAAAAGCCTACCATTACAACTGATAATGCCCTAGGTCAAATTATCCTGATTCAGAAGCCAGGAAAAACTCGTACCATCTTATACAGTGTTACAAAACTGCAAAAATTAAGTACACAGAAAACTATACAACAATTATCAGACTATAAACATACTTCTCTCTTTTCTGGCAGAGTATCCATTCAATTTGCTGGAGAGTATTAACCCTACCTACCTTAAGAATGACGTAAGAACTGCTCTTAATAAACACACTTCATTTGAGTAATGGCCACGAAGGAATTTCTCACTTGTATTATTTGGTCTCTACCACACTGAACCTGTGCTTCCAGTCGAGGGAATTCGAGACTTCAAGGGCAGCTAATATGTATTTCCATTTTAATGAACTATACCTAAGAAGCCAGTTACAAAATAAGTCCTAATAGAAAGCTGATGAAGTTTATTCTCTTAAGTGAAAACTTTAATAACAGTAGGAATGGCGTTCCAATACATCGATTCTGAGCAAAAACTTTTTTTTTTTTACAAATTACAAATGGGTCTTCCTTTCTACCCCACTCACTAAAAATTGGCTTTCTTTAAAGGAGGGAGACACGATGATTTATGTAACATCAGGGCAACATCTGTCTTGCACAACAGCAAGTGCTGCCACACCTCGCAAGAGAAACTGTCACCTTAAGGGGAAAACAGCCCCACCTCGCAACAAAACTCTCTTGTTAGAGGGGTTACCAGGAGCGTCAAGTTTCTAGACAACGAAATCCTCCTCCCCCAAATGGCACTAGCCCTGTGGGCAAAGGCGTTACAGAACCCTGCGGGGAACCATCTCCCCACCCGCCAAACCAGAAATGCAGTCGGTGATGTCAGCCCTGTCAGCCGAGGGAGGAAGGGGCTGTGGAAAACACCCAGCGAGGCGCACAGTCGCATCTGGCAATCTAGATGCTGCAGAGAAAGCGGAAATGTGGAGGGCATCTCTCTGCGTCCTGGAAGTGGCGCGGGGCAGGAGGAACGAGCAACCAGAGGGCAGGGCGCGTGCCCGAAGGCAGGAGAGGTGCAAGGCGGCCCCAGGAGTGCGTCGGGACGCCGCCGCTCCTCGGCCCGAAGGGTCCCCATCCCCGGCCCCCGCGCTCCAGGGCCGCGGCCAAGGCCGACCCGCACCTCCCACCCGCTTTTGCTCCCCCAGGCGGCGAGGCCGCCGCGCCACCGCCTCCTCCCGGGGCAGAAACTTTGCGTCTCTAATGGAAACCGAGCCGCGCGCCAGCTCCCTCCTCCCCCGCCCCCCCGCCCCAATTAGCATGAGCCGGGCGCCTCCCGCGGGAAGGGCCTCCTGGTGCACCGAGGTTCACGCCCGCCTGCACTGCCGCACCGGGTGGGGGGCCGCAGGGGTGCAAAAGCGGCAGGCACGAGCCGCGGCCACACCGCAGGGCCCCGCCCAGGCGAAGGGCGGCCCGGCAGCCGCTTCCGCCCTCTCCGCCCCCAACCCCTCGCCTTCCTGCCCCCCAACTCCACCCTTCCCGGCTCCTTCCTTCCCAGCCCACGCCCGCGCCGCGCCCCCCGGGAGGAAGGAGGGAAGAGCGCCCGGCAGGGCCGGCCAAGGAGGTGAGGTGGCGGACGTTGACTGTGCCCCCAACACTCGGCTGGAGCAATGTGCGCCACCGGCCCGCTCTAGCCCATTCATTCTCCGCTGCCCGCCCGATCTGCCACCTTCGCGCCGGGGGAGAAGCGGGATGGGGAGGGGCGAGGGGGAAGTCTAGTGCCCGGCCCCGCCCGGCTCCCGGGCCGAAACGCTTCGCTGCAGGCAGCCCGGGTGCGGCGCTGCTGGATGCAGTGGGTGCGGGGCCGGGAGGAGGGTAGGGGTGGGGGTGGGGGTGGGTGGATGCGGAAAGCCCCGCTGCAGTTGTGGCTGGAGCCCCTGCCGGTGGACGGCCCACGGCCAAGTCCAGCTCCAAGGAGAACCAATAAATGAAGCTCCCTGGCAGAGATCGCCGAGATGCAAATCCAAAATGCATCCTCCTTTAAACGCAGCGGCTGCGTAACATTCAGAAAAGAGAAACCTCCCCCAAACCAAAAACCAAAAACAAAACAGAGATCTGAAAAGAAATCTTGGGCAGCTGCTACAACGGCATTTGCCACTCCCGACCTACCATGGTGCGAGCGAAGGGAGCAAGAGCAGAGGGAGCGAGGGTGGCTGCACCAGCGCGGGGGCTGTGACGGCCGGGGTGCCTCCGATGCTGCCGCTGCCGCTGCTAAGGCGCGCTGTGCTCTGTGCCGCCGCCGCCGCCGCCTGCGCCGCCGCCTGACTGCGAGTAATGGCACCGCGTCCACGAGACTCGCAACAGCACTGCCGGAGCGCGAGCCTGCTCCCCGATATATATACGGCGCCTCGTATCCCTCCGCCGCGGCGGAGCCGTTTCGCGCAGAGTGGAGATGCGGCAGCCGGGCCTTGCCCGCCCGGCCCCGCCCCCCGGTCCGCCCGGCCTTCCACCGCCCCCTGTGCGCCAGTCGCGGCGGCCCTGCGCGGGGTCGGCCACGGGGAGCGTTTTAGGCTGGGCGCGCG